CCAAGGGGAAATTAGCTGGAAGCTCACTCTCAAACACATATAATACAACTGAAGAGGCAGTTGAAAGGTAACAGTTGAATAAATAAGCCAATGACTCTAGAGACAACCCCTGGAAGTCGGGTTGGAAGAAATACTTGTCACATTGTAACAGGACAAGCATACAACCCTGTAGAATCTGGGAGCCGTTTCTCAAAAAGAAACCATCCTAGTCATTTGGACAGGTAGAAATGAAATGAAAAGAACTCCGTGCCGTACTCTCCTGCTTAAAGGTAAACTGCCACATTTACTTAGCTAGTGCCACACCTCATTACAGATACTTAAACAGCAGAGGTACATTCTCTGCCTTAAAACAGCAGTTAAGTTAGTAGAGTAATATGGCGATCCAGAAGGAATGTGAGCCTGGCTGTAAACTTGTATCGACTCAATAGCTAGTTAGGTCAATCAGCAGGTCTGATTATTAAACAGTCATTAACACATTATTAGGATTAAGATTGAAGGATACGTTACCTTTTCAGAGAACGTTTTGTAAGGTCGGAGCATCGGGTGGGTCTTAGAATTCTCATCCAACACCTCTCCATAGGTCCAGTTGTTCTGAATCTGAGGGTCGACATAACCATTGAGATCATTATTACAGATTACTAACCATTACAAAACAAACAGGGACTTCATTTGTATCTGATGATCTTCCCAAACTGACCTTTTCAAAGGCCCATCTGTCATGAGTGTGCTCTGCGTACTTGTTGATGAAGGCGTCCAGCCTCTCGGGTATGATGGTGCTGTGAAGAAATGAACTCATATTAAGTGTGAGGTTATTAATTGAATGTACATTTCAAAAGTTTGATTATTGTAGGAGACATTTCCTTAGTTTGAATTCTTTATCATTTGGAACATGTGGTTTCTCCATTTGCTGTGTTTGAAATTGTCATTTTATTTTCCTTAACTACTTCATATTTTTAGTGTTTGTTTTTTTAAAGCTTTGCTAACTTACATTTACAGCTCAAAATAATTTCCTAAAAATCAAATCTAAATCTAAAAAGGGCATAACAACATCATTTTTAGTTACAATTTCGAATTTATGTTTTGCTATTGCTATATTTATATTGTGTCTTTGTGCTCACTTGGTGGTCTCCACTGGCTTTGGATCAAAGTTTCCCTCAGCGTCCACAGAGGCCTTCTTCTCAGTGGCGGAGGAGAAGGTGGCGTCCACGTAGTCCGGAGGGATGGCTCCAGCTATGGCACAGAGGCACGGCATGGCGATCTTGAAGAGCTCTGCGTCATATTTCTAGAGCCGGGACGACATCAGAGGAGTCACGTTGATGATGACACACGCTTAAACCTGTGTGATTGCAGAATATCAACATGCCAAAATCTGTGGACAACCAGAGCGTCCATCTCACCTTGTGTGCCAAAGACTCAAAGATTCCCCAGAAGAGTTTACGAGTAAGATGCAGCTCCTCCTCTGAGGTCACCCCGAAGTTAGCCCATCCGTTAGGCAGGCAGTAGTACCTCCAACAGCGCTCGTAGTGATTGGTCAACAGCTGAAATCATAGATGGAAACACAAATGAGCACACTTTTTAATAATTGGTATTTGCAAGAAAGCAAATTATTGGTAATATCTGTATACAACAACTGTACTGCAATAACCACTGTAACATAGTAATAGTTTAAACACAGGTTGGTTAGATTGTCCATGTTGCATTATTTATTTTACTGTTCGATTGCAATTTTAACTTGTGATGCAATGTTATACATTCAATACAATGAAATAGCAGACAGACCTTAAGAGGCATCTTGGCGTATTCGTTGAGGATGGGAACATCAAACACCAGCCGTCTGAGCAGGTGCTGCAGCATGGAGGGCCGGAGGTACCTGTGATGTCATAAAAAGGCTTTATGAGGAATGTTATTATCAATGTTTCACATGGGATTTTATTCTTTTATTCCCTTTCGGGGTCGTTTGATACAATATGATGGTCGATTCATGGTAACAATCATATTTGCTCTCCCGGCCATGGTTGGGGTCAAAGACTGTGTGAATACAATCCTTCAGATGTCTAACTAGCAGAAGCATGTTCTCTACACAGATAGCCTGGGCCTGGCACTGACTTGCAGAGCGACACGAGGCACTCCTCGATGACGTCCCTCTGAGCCTTGGTGAGGGCTCGGCCGCGGGACAGCCGGTAGATGGTGTGCAGCATGGAGTCGATCATGATGGCACGGTGGTCCGTCCCAGCATACAGCGGGGCACACTTGGTGAGCAGAGGCAGGACAGCCGAGCAGAGGTAGCGGTTCAGGGCCAAGGCCATCTCAGTGGTGCTGAAGGCCAGCTATAGTCACAGAGTAAGACAGGACATTTATTTATATGAATGCAATACTTACAGAGTAAATAAGTTCATTTACATTTACTGAATATACACTATTTTTGCGTTTTAATATTGTGTATTATGAGCTGCTACTTTACTTCAGACTGTGACAACATGAATGTGTTAATGTTTATTACTGACTGCTATTTCAATACCTTTATAATTATAATTACTTTTACAATGCTGCAATGTATTTCTTTTTACCATGGATTTGTAGTTTTTTCATTGTATTAATGTTTGTTTGCCTTTCTTACTTTTATTTAAATGTTAGTCTACTCTTTATTATTGCATTGCGTCTGCACAGTGGCTTTGCTGTTCTACTGAAATCCCCGCCAAGTGGAACAAATGAAGGATTTCTGATTCTGATTAGATGCCCTTAGAGTGACTGGACCCACACTCTTCCATAAGTGGGTCAAAAAGGACCCGTATTAGAATAATATGTGTTCTTATGCCATTTTTGTCATTTTGGTTCAGAAAACTCACTTGTATAATATTTAGTAGTATATTTTGGTTCACACTAGAAATATTTTATATTTAATATGTCACTATTTATAATTTTATAATTTTGAAAAAAACGAAATTCCTTAGTAAATGCATTCAGGACATTTTTAACCCACTTATGGAAGCTTGGGGTAGAAATACAAAAACTAAAATTTCTTATTAATGTATAACATTTAAATAAAAAATGTGAATGGCATGATATCCAAAACATGTTTTTTGAGGAATAGCTGGAATATAAAATGATAAAAAAAATTAATTACAAAGATACTCTAAGAAAACCACCTCACCGGGTCAAAAAAGACCCACTTATGCATCTAAGGGTTAAGTAAAAATTTTGAGATTATTGTACTTTACTTGAGTATTTCCATTTAATAGTAATTTATACTTCTACCCCACTTCATTTAAGAGGTAATGCTCTTTAGGAGAGTGTGTGTGAGAGAGACAAAAACCAAGGGAACACCACAAAAAGCACAATAGGGCCTTTTTAAACTCTAGATGTATTTACCACTCATAGTCACGTTTCACAAGTAGAAACCCATGACATATGATATAATGCTGCACTACTAATAGACCCAGTATTTTAAAGTATATCAAACTGGCTCCACATTGACAAACTTCAATACAAAATGTATTATATATATGTGTCGGTAATACAAACAGGATAATATGATAATACATTCTGTTCTGCATATTGAGTACTTTTTGATACCCAGTACATATACCTGAATTCAAGACTTTTACTTGTAATGGAGTATTTAAAGACCAGAGTATTTCTACTTGATTTGAGTAGGAGGTGAGTACTTCCTCCCTCTCAGCTCACAGATGAGTAAGCAGTGACTCCTGTGGCGTGTGTGTGTGTGTGTGTGTGTGTGTGTGTGTGTGTGTGTGTGTGTGTGTGTGTGTGTGTGTGTGTGTTTGTGCGTGT